AGGCTCCGCGGCTGGACTCGCGTTTGCCTCGTTTTGGGGCTGCTTCGGGGAGTGTGCAACATCGCTTGTTTGGGGCTGCCCTTGCGGGTGTGCCGCGTCACAGATCGGTGGTGGGTGCGGCCGCCCCGAGCCAGCGGGGCGGCGCGGCGTCATTCGTAGTCTGTTGGCGAGCTTGATGGTCCGGCGAGGACGGCGCGGCGGCGGCCCCGGCGGTAGGTGGACTTGAATCGCCTGCGTCCGGCAGGAGGGAGGCCAGGACCCTCTTGTATTCAGCAGTGCGTCGCTGTCCCTTGATGGCCTCCACGCTCCTGCCGTGCATCACCTCCGCCAGGGCCAGGTTCAGGTTCTTGGTTCCCTGCCGCACCATCCCCGCCTCTCGCATCGCCATTAGATGACGCTCTTCGGGGTCCCACCTCGCCTTCTTGATCGCCGCCCGGTCTTCGGCGACGCCTTGTTGGAATTCGGCGAGGTGGGCCCGGCGTTGGTGTAGTCTGCGGCCGGCAAAGGTGGCAAATCGCCGACCGCAGTCGGGACACTCCGTCTGGTCAGGTGTTGGGTCGCCGGCGGGGACCGAGGCCCCCGCCGACCCCCCCCCCCCCCGCGACCTCCGCCCTGGTAGACTGTGGTTGGCGTCTCGCGCCGCCATTGTCACTCTTCTTTGTTTTGTCTTTCGGGCCACAAACATGCTTCGCCGGCGCGGGCTGGTAACCCACGCCGGCTAGCGGTTACCCTCCAGCCCTTGGCCGACAGCAGGGCGGGAGCCCCACGGGCCGTTGCCAGGGCTGCGCCACAAGGAGGCGGCTGGTAGGGACTTGGGATGGCGGTTGGCCGCCTCTTTGCATTTTTTTTAAATTTTATTTTCATACACAACGGACATAGGACACATTACACAAGACATTTATCACAAGATCAGCCCGATGGCTGACGTAGTTTTCCCGGGTTATACTCCCCGGGGGAGTCCCCAGATGCGGGTCGGCCGCGTCATCGGCCGTGAGCGTCACTCGCGACCCCCCGGCCGCGACGACCCACCGTTGTCCGTCTGAAGGCTCTGTGCATCCACGCGGTTTCCTCCAACGTCATCGTTGATATCTTCGTTAGGTTCTTGCTGTGCATTTCGAGTTCTTGGAGATCAGCTGCTGAAGTCCGCGACCAGTTTCCGCGCCAGTTGAGAGTGATGGTGGTATAGCTGATCGCTTGGTTCTGGTTCGTGGTCTCCGTCTTGATCCATGTCTTGATGTCGTCGGTGTCGTAGAAGTCGGCCTTCTCCTTGTGCTGCGTCTCCAGGTTTGCGTTATCCGCCAGGACTTGGGCGTCAATGACCTTGGTGACCGGGCCCTTTGACGCCACAATGTCCGGTTTCCGTAGACCTTCTGCGGTCTGGATCCTCGGCTCTTCGAGGACCTTCCAGTGCTGTTTCCGCAGGATCTCAGCCGTGTATTTGGCGATCTTGTCATGGCGGCGAACTCTCCCTCCGTGGGTGCGTATGCACGTCTGGCTTATATGCGCCAGGCTCTCACGCTTGCCGCAGCCGGCGTCGCAGTTCGGCGGCGTACCACCACCTCTTCCTCTGCTCCGTCTTACGGCCGTGGATAGGAGGTTTCCCCTCACTAGGATGGATCCCACAAATCCGGTTCCTGTCTGCACATGACCACCTTGATCTATCCAGCGGTTGGAGGCTGGGCAGTTCTTCGCCGCGTGCAGTCCTCTCCCGTCAACTGACGAGAGCAGCTGCTGGGCGCGTTTCCTTCTGTTCTCGTCAGCCGTCATGGCCCCGCTCGCCACTCCGCCGCGGTGACTCAGGTATCCTGATTGGGTGACCAACTTGATGTTCGGGTGGTCACTGTCATTGAGTTTTGCAAGCCTATTCTTCACTAGCCGAGGGATGGTATCGACTAGGGCCGGGATGTCGAGACCCCCGTCTTCCAGCGCTGCGTGGAAGAAGCTCACCGGGGTGTCCTTCGGTATGTGCAGCCATTTCCTGGTCATGGTGCGGATGGTGATGTCCATGGCCTTCAACTTGGTGATATTCGTCTTCCCTAGGACGAGTGTGTGTGTCATCCCGGGTATGATGTGCCTCTTCAGGATGAACAGCCGCTGTTGCGGTTTGAGAGGCGCTCGGTCTGTCTCTGTTAGTTGTTTGTGGAGTCTCTTTCCAGCCGACATGAGCACGCCGGAGGCGCTGATCTCCACGCCCAGGTATTTTATACTGTCGGTGGGCCCCATGGTTGGTATCGGTTGGCCCGCGATTGTATACTTGGCGTTGTTGTCCACCACCGTCTTCTTGTGTTTGCCATCCACTTTGATGGTCAGGGAATGACATTTTGCCGCATTGGGTTTCAGTCCCGTTGGCGCCAGTGTCTCGGCGAAGATCCGTATGCGGTGCTGCAGCATTCGCGGTGTTCTCGCTAGTATGATCGCGTCATCCGCGAACGCTAGTATCGGAGGTGGGTCCGCCTCATCGCCTGCATCCTCCTTCAGCTTCTGGATTGCTTCGTCCAGGACTGCATTGAATAGGTAGGGGTAGAGCGGGTCCCCCTGCCTGACGCCATTGTTCACTTGGATCTTTGTGTCTCGTCTGATCTCTGTGGTTGCCTTCGTGTATAAGGAGACAACCGTGTTTATCACCTTCTCTGGTATCCTCAATCGCTTCATAGCTCGTGTGATTGAATGATGAGATACTGAATCAAAGGCTTTTGCGAGGTCCACTGATGCTAGGGCCAGCGGCTGCAGTCTTGCCCGGGCTCGCCACAGCAGCGCGTCAAGTATTGAGACGTTCTCGGCACATCCATCTGCCTGGATGAAAGCCCTCTGCAGTGGATCGAGGGGCCTTTCCTTGCTGCACCTGCTTGCCAGAATCTTCGTGAAGAGTCTCAGTACCACAGAGGTCACCGATATAGGTCTGTATTGTGCTGGGCTGTTTGGTTTTGCCACCTTAGGTATCAGGGTGGTTCTCGCATGTCGTAGGCTTTCCGGGACATGTTCGGCGAGGAGCCATAGGTTAAACACCTGAACACCAGGTTAAAGCCTGAGAGAGTCATAGCTACTCCCGCCGTTTACCCGCGCTTGGATGAATTTCTTTACTTTGACATTCAGAGCACTGGGCAGAAATCACATCGCGTCAACACCGACCTTGGCCATCGCGATGCTATGATTTAATTAGTCAGTCGGATTCCCCTGGTCCGTGCCAGTTCTAAGTTGCTTCTTAATTGCCGAACGACGCGGTGGTTCCCGTTATTTATAAAATTTTCAAGACGGGTGCTGACAAACATACACTACGGATGGCGGCGCCCAGGCGCCGCCATTAACATAAGACCACGGACACTGGGCGCACGCAGGCGCTATCACATTATTGGCCCCTTTCTTTATAGTCGCGGGGCTCTACGACTTCGGGCGGGGAGCGCGGGGGGCGCCTCGGGCTTCTGCCGTCATCTTGCAGTCGGCGGCGCACCCCGCGCCCGCCAACGCACCGCACACTAGCCAGTCTTCTTAGTCCGAAGCGTGTCGCAACATGAGGAGTCCTGGCACCGGCTTGAGGTGTCCGTTTTCGCCTAGCCGATGCTGCAGCCGCCATGGTGTTGGTGGCTACCATGAGGTCGGGTTTGCGAAGTCCTGCAGGGGTCGGGATGGCGGGCTCTTTGATGGGTAGAGCTCCGCTGTCCCCGAGGTATCCTTCTAGCTGGGCTAGGACACGATATGTCTGGCCGTCCTGTTGAGGCGTGTTCTCTCACAGGCTTGGCTAATGTGGCCCATCGTCTCTGGCCGCCCACAGCCTGCGTCACATGGTATGAAGATGGTAGCCTTGTCCACGTCGAGATCTTGCTGCTCTCTGCCCGGTGAGGACAAGGTTCCCTCGGATTTTAATTGCGCCGACGTAGGCTGCTCCAGGCATGGGTGGGTTGGGCGCTGTCACCCACCGCTGGCTCTTGGGGTGATGGGGCGCCTCTTTGAGGCCGGCTCCGTCAACCTTCGAGAGTAGCTGGCGCCTATGCTCTTTCCGGATGGATTCTCTGCTGTCTAACGTTGGTCCGTCCCTGGGGGTGACTGGCCGGGACGCGTCATTTTTTTTCCCAGCCGGAGCAATACACAGGGCGGCTCTGATTGGCTAGCCGCTCCGGCCCGTGACGTCAGACCGAGAAGATGTCACACAGGGATGCCGGAGAGCGCTTTCGATTCCGGAGATTTCAAATCAAATGCCGTTGAGTTGATGCCGCTGTGTAATGAGGATGCGCAATGTGTATTCTACGCGACGTAATGGTTGGTGAACGGAAGCGTAGTCTTTGATTGAGATATGTATGAAGCGTCCTATTCTTTGAGATAAGCATTTTGGATGTTGGAACACTGGAAATATTTCTCGCAAGATATTGACTTTACCCTGCATGTTTTTTTTTTAATCATTCCTATTGCGAACTTGATAGACACAGTGGAGCCTGCCTTTCGGACTCCGGTCAGGTGGGTGCCCTCCGCTATTTCCCACTGGGGGGGGGGGGCTGCATCTCTTTTACACCCAGACATGTTAGATTAAATATTCCACTTTGAAGATATGAGATTTGGAGTAAGAAAACAGCGTTGTAGTTCGTGGTTATAGCTTAATTAAGCTCAAAACAATCACGCTGAAACATTTACGAATATGGGTGTCGCGCGCCAACAATTAGCTTTTGACCGCCGCGCGAGTCGGATCGCCTTCCTGACATTCATACGCTGTCTCAGCAGCACCAGAACCACTGGAACATGTATTTACACATGCGAGTACCGTCTGGCATCACTGCTCGCATTCCGCCAGACCGTTATCATCGACGCGTTCAAAGCTTTCACCGTCCGCATTGAGGATATTACATCAGAACTGCCATCCTGAATTTATTTCTTTATTTTCATAACAACCACAGGCCCAGGCCCACATTAAGGCTGCAGTCGCAATAAAATTTCCCATCCCACCCACTCAGGCATTCAACCCGCTCTACCCTCCCCTTACACACATACAACCCCTCCCCGCCCCCCCCCCCCTCCCAGCATACATACACATATACCAGAAGCGATCACAGAAAGTAAGTAGCCAAAGAGTGCTGGCCGACATCAGTCGATATCACTCATTAAAAGTACCCTGACTACTCGCAAAGCGGAGCAGTAGTGCTCTCCAATGACATGACGGCTGGAAGAAGTCTGCCTCCGAATGTTCGTGTAAGAATTTGTTTAGTTGGTTGGATAGTCGAATAAACAAGTCACACTTCACAGCATTAACTCTGCCAAATGGGACATGAAAAAGGCCTGTGTGCCGAGAACGCCTAACCTGAGTGACAAGGCTGAATTTCGCCACCAGCTCGTGACGGTCAATCCGGCCGCTAAAGATAGAACGCATAAAAGTTGAACACATTAGGCACTGTGGGTTCGACCCACAGAGACGTTTCGAGCCACACACTCCGCCAGGTTGTGTGGGGCTCGCGCTGAGGGCACCACCTGAGCACAGAGAGGTTGCTTCGCGACCTTTGTTGGCACGGCGTAGGCACCGTGGTCGCCAGCGGCGGCGTCTTTTTTGGGTCTCCCAGTGGAAGCACGCCGCTTGCCACCAACTGGGACTTTCCTGCGAGCCACTGCTGTCGGCTGGACGCCTATCATCACAGAGCTTTTGAAGGAGCTTGCAGGGACAGCGCTGCAACCAGTGCCAAACTGGTGCAAACTTGACACCCGCGAATTGTCCGTTTTCATGCGCTCGTAACGGCTAATGAAAGTGCTTAGTGCGGGGCCGTACAGCTCTGGTGCACGCATCAGGTCAGCCTGCCATGACTCACAAAGAGCCTGGCACCGAGCGATCAGGTCAGCTGTCCCGTCGCCCAGGTTGGCGCCCGCCTTCTCCTCGCTCGCCACGTCAGGTTGCTGATCTTCGGCTGATGCGTCACTTCGGCTCGTGCTTGGCTGGCTCGTGCGGCTCGGTTCCCGCGGATTTTGCCTCATTGAGGCCAAAAACCCGCCGGGTGCTGTAAGACCTGTCAACAGGAGAACAATCAACAATGACTATAAAAACACACCACATGAGCGGTCCAAACACCACCACCGCGCAAGATAGTACAAATAGATTATTTGGGCCAGGACATGGCCTCGAGAACGAGGTTATATCTCCATAACCAAAGGTCACAGATATCTCAAGTATTCGGTGTACCTTAACCCACGCCCCGCTGGGGGGGGGGCAGAATCTGTCCTCCTCACGGATTTTTGCGATAACTCCAAAACCGTTGCAGATATTGCCACAACATTTGGGGTACATTATTCTACATCAATTTGACATCGACTGGGCAAACTTTATCGAAATCCCATTGAAAACCTTTGAGACAATAGCGTTTATTGTGACATCACTAGAGTCCTGTTTGGGCAAAATTGTCTAAATGTTTGAAATTTGACCAAAATTATGTTCGAAGCAAAATGTCAAAAAAGCCAGCAAGTATGTAAAATAACAAGCGCTATAAAATGTCTATCTCGGGATCTTGAACGTTTTGACTTTTTTTTACCCCAAAACTTTAGTATAAGTCACCCCCGTTTACGGTATCGAACATTTCTGGTTATCCGGACACGCACGAAACGAACTACGGAACGAGATCGAACAATTACCGATACTGAATAAAAAGTCTGGACCGATTGACCGATTTTCCCGACTAAGCGCCAGTTCAGTAAAGACGATCTGCATATAATTATCGATAAACAGATGCTGTCGTAACTAGGAAAAAAATCGACTGCAGCTTACAGGGTGTCCACGTCAAAAGTGTACCCAGACTTTTCTCCATAGGTATTTTATCTTAAACACATCACACTCACAATCAAATGCCCTCGTTTGAGAGCCAAGGCAATGGCAGAACATTTGCTATGCTTCTCAACTGTGCTCGGCACTCTGCTGACCAGCGCGTGCCGTCTAGAGCAACTGCTCTATATGAGCCCCTTTACGTCGGGCCACCGCCGGCAGACGGACCGGCTGGAGGTGGGTGATCGCCTTGTCGACCATGTGGGAAGGAAGGCGACGGATCTCGTCGCTGATGGCGTATTCCAGCTCCTGGGTCGACACTGGATTGCCGGCGTACACACAGTCCTTGATAAAGCCCCACAAGAAGAAATCTAGAGGACTGAGGTCGGGCGAGTGGGGAGCCCATTCCACCGCTCTTTTCAAGCTGGTGTGGCGGTCAGGAAAGTGCTCCTCCGTCGCCATGAAGAATGGTTTTAACAGGACGGGGCGCCGCCTCACACCGCCAAACGGTCGCTGGAATGGCTGGAGGAGCACTTTCCTGACCGCCACATCAGCTTGAAAAGAGCGGTGGAATGGGCTCCCCACTCGCCCGACCCCAGTCCTCTTCTTGTGGGGCTTTCTCAAGGACTGTGTGTACGCCGGCAATCCAGTGTCGACCCAGGAGCTGGAATACGCCATCAGCGACGAGATCCGTCGCCTTCCTTCCCACATGGTCGTCAATGCGATCACCCACCTCCAGCCGGTCCGTCTGCCGGCGGTGGCCCGACGTAAAGGGGCTCATATAGAGCAGTTGCTCTAGACGGCACGCGCTGGTCAGCAGAGTGCCCAGCACAGTAAGAGAAGCATAGCAAATGTTCTGCCATTGCCTTGGCTCTCAAACAAGGGCATTTGATTGTGAGTGTGATGTGTTTAAGATAAAATACCTAGGGAGAAAAGTCTGGGTACACTTTTGACGTGGACTCCCTGTATTTACCTTGCCTTTGATCATCGCAACTGACATTTCCGCGCTGATCTCAAACCTACCGGTGGCGATTTGGAAGTAGAGGTGACGCTGTTTCTCGCTGAGGGTGGGCAGGAAGTTGATTGCCGCATCAGCCATGGCAGGCTCCTTCCGCAGAACAGCTGCCTGGTGCTTGCACGGCGCTCCAGTGGCTCCCACACGACACGTGCACAGCTCCAGATCCGTGTCAACGGTGTACGAGACACCGGACTTGGTGAAGCTGGACACCTGGTACGTGGACGGTCCCACCTGTGAGAGTGAAAAACGAGACGAATATGAGAAAATCGATGCCGTAATGTAATTTTCTAAGCATCCGTCATTGTTCCAGGGAAATTAACCGAATACTAAGCTGCAGCCCAACCACAGGAATCATTTGGCATGTGGTTACAAAACCCCACCCAATTAATGACTGTGGTAGTTTTATTTAAAAAACGACCAATAAAAATACAATACAATCAATCCTGAAATAAAAGCATCTCATGCTTAACATTTGATAGACCATTACCTACCTGCTCCACAGACGCCTTGTCGATGCCATCTGCCGACGGGCAGAAGCGCTTGCGTGCCGAGGCCGGCGTTCTTCCGTTTGCAGCGTCCAGGACTTTGCGCGAGTACTCATTTTCGAGTCGGATCATCACGATGTCGACCAGCTGGGTGGTGTTGTGGACCTTGAGCCGCCTCAGGAGCTTGTCCTTGATGATGCGGAAGGCCGCCTCCGTCAGATTGTTGGTGTGGTTCCCTCTGACCATCAGGTCCGAGCGGAAACACATGGCCCACTCGTGACGACGGATCCAGCGCTCTTCCATGTACTTTTCAAAGTGTCCGAGCTTCTTCGTCCGTGTGAAGGCGAGCAGCTCCTCCCAGCGCTGGCTGAGGTCGTGCTCAGTGGTGGCTCGGAGGAGGGCACGGACACGTTGCAACGCCTCCTGTCGCTGGTCAGCGGCGACACCGCTCTGCTTCCCACACAGCCACCGCCAGGCAGCCTGGAGGATGTGAAATGAGCAGAGCAGTAGCCGACACTCGGGGAAGACATTCCTCAGTGCGGCTCTGAGGGCAGCGCAGTCGTCCGTCATGGCCACCACCGGGCCACGTGCTCCTCGACCCCCGAAGCTCTGCTCATCCATCAGGGTCAACAGCAGCTGGAGCCCTGCCGTTAGGACGCTGGTCGACTCTGATGACGTGACGATGGCCCCCACGGGGAGAGCGCCGACCGGGCTGTGAGTCAGAAGGAGAAAGAGACGACTGTCGCTCCGGTCCATGTTGCCGGACGAGTCGACGAACAACATTTCTGCGGCTCGAGGCCACAGCTGGGAGACTCGGCGCATCAGCGGCGTGACGATAGCCACCACCACGTTGTGGTCGTCCACCTCCAAAGCAGCACGACCGCCCGACGTTCCGTCGTACTGCTCTACGAGGCAGCGAAGGCCGTCCAGCATTTTCTCTCCGGACAGCTCGCCGTAGACTTTCTTGAATTCTGTCCGGTACAACCTGTAATTAAAGGAATTGTGGACTATGGTTAGATGGTATGTGTTACTTGTTGATTGGGAATGGTCAGGTAGCTACTTATGAGCTACGAACAGTTTAGGCGACGGAGGCGGAAGTGACAGAACAAAATTTAACCGGTGTTCCAAAAACATAGAAAAGCCTTACTACCTATACGCGTCGCACTAAAACGTTGTGTAGAAGTTGAACGATGTTAAATTAAAATAAATGCACTAGATAATTAGTTAATAACTTAACACTCGCACCGACGGGGGTCTGCGCCAACTTCGTACCGACGGGGGGGGGCGGATGACCGCCCCCCCCCCCCATGAGATCTCGAGAACGAAGCAAGATAGCGACAAGCGGTAAACGGCATCGGATACGCACGGTCAAGGTCTACAATTTTTACAAAGGTCGTTTTCAGGTCAGGTCAAAGATGACGTCACAGGGGTCGAAAAAGTCAAAATGGCGGCGCTAGATATGGAGTTTTTCTCGAATAATTCGTTTTTTTTTTCGAATTGGTCAATATAGCAACAAACTAAGGGCATTATCGTGATCCTCTCGTCAATCCACATCGAATGATATATATGTTGACCTCGAAAAGTCAAGGTCAAAGGTTGACCTCAGGTCACGTGACCTTGAGGTCATCATGTATATCATTCGATGCGTCTTGACGAGCTGAACACAATGAGACCATCCGCGCGGCTGTATCTTGTTCCTGTACGGAGTTATTGGCCAAAAACCTTTGGTGACCTTTGATTATGTCACATGACCTTACAGCTGCCCAACAGCAAAACAGACCTCAAGGTAGTGATATATATTACTGACCGGGCCGACGAAATTATCTGGAAACGAGGTTTGCAAAATTGACGGAGGCCCGAGTGCGGAGCACGAGGGCCGGAGTCTAATTCCGCTCCGAAAGATATTGCTCACCGAAGACGCACTGCACTTCAACTGCTACCAATGGCGGTAGCCTTCAAATCGCTAGCCTTCAAAGCAGGGGATCCCCCACTTATTCAATGCGTAAACTACGCCCAGTTACAGCTAATATAGCAAAATCGGACGGCCCTCAATCGTTAACAATGGCAAACTGTTGGCAATCAAAAAACAATGGCAATCGTTAACATGCTTAACCTGAGCCCTGTTGAGGCGACTTAACGCGGCAGTTGCTCATCAGGGTGTTTCGCCACCCGCCGTTTGCTGGGGGGGGGGGGCGTTAAACGCCCCCAGCCGATAACTCGAGAACCAATAGGCGCAGTGAAACGCACGAGGCGGCAAACGAAAGAACGCGACGAGACGCTTCAGATGAGTACTTGAAAGCTGAATTTTGAGGTCACAGGTCGGGTCAATATCAGGTCAAATACCTGAAATCGGGCTTTCAGTAGCATGGACTTCAGAACCTCGCGATGGGCGCCTCTCGTCATTAACTCTGTCAAAACGGTGCACAATCCTTCATATACTCGTAAGTCCTACAAGAGTGTCAGATACATGTAGGGGTCAGTCAAACATAGGTCAGGGTCAAGGTCAGGTCAGTCAGGTAAGCACATATCCCCGAATATCAAAACTGGTATTCGCAGTCTATGACACATGTTTTATGGGTAATTTTGGGCGTAGAACACGATGGTGACATTCATTTTGTCATATGTGTACGTGTTTGGTTCAAAAAGTTCAATTTAAGAAATGCATGAGCACGGTCGTGAAGAAGTCAAGACTTCACGAGAAATTGCCAAGATTCAGTTCAAGATTTTTGAAAATGTGGAACGACAATCAAAAATTGAAGATAGTAATTTCATTGTGCATAGTATGGGCAGTCTAATGGCGTTTACCGCATGTCTGTATGTCTATTGTGTGATTTTATATGATTTTTGAACATCTGCCGTTTTTGGTCGAAAACTCAGAAATCATAACGTCACTAAAACCTCGATACCTTAAAAATTTTCAGACCGATTTTTTTTTTTTAAACTTTGTCAAAAACTTAAATCAATTTCCTACAGGTAACCAAATTTTGCGCGCCGTTTTTATGCTATAGCGCGGCGAAAAAAGTGGAGGCGTTTAACGCCTCCCCCCCCCCCCCAGCAACCCGCGGGTTAAGTTTTGAGGTTGTCGTCTATTAGTGAGCACTTGGAATGAACAACAATTAATAAAAATATACAAAAGGTAGCTCCCCATACGGGACCAAACGCTGAAAATGGCAAGAAAGTTGACCGTGCCGTTTCGGCGGCGATCAAAATGACCCAAATCGCGGCAGAAACGCTAAACACCCCCCTAGAGAGGTAGCCCAGGTTGGGATTTTCAATAGAAAATCACAATTCTAAAGAATAGTGATTGTCTTAATTGAAAAGTCCCAACCTTCGGATACAACATAAATCCGCCATTCTTACCGGTGACAGTAGCCAACATCAGGACAGTGGGCGCGGTCCGCTGCGATGCGGTAGAAATCGTCTCCGGCCTCCTCTTGTAGAGCTGAGATGAGCTCGTCTCGCGCCTGCTCAGCCGAGTAGCCCATCCGGAACAGCTCCAGAAGACGGTCCCTGGTCGCCGTCGATACATCCCTCTCCTTCAGGACGTCAGCGACTTCCAGTCCGTGGTTGTGGCTGAAGTGGATGCTAACGACGCCAAGAAGCCCATCTTCGAGATGATTTTTCTGCCTGTTAAAAACAACCAAAGAGGTTAAGAAAAATGTAGGCACTATCGCGTTCGTCTTGCCAAGCTGCGTCGAACGATTTTTTCTTTAATTCAAAGGCTGCCTGACCCACATAATCGCATTTGTCATGTAAAATGGACCATAAAACATGTATCACACGACACCTTCATGTTGTGACTTGTGACCCCCAGGTGACCCCCAGTGACCTGACCTCTGTGACCTGACCTGGTATCAGTGACCTCAGATAGCGAAGTATGTGTTTGACGAACAATGTACCATCGATGGTTTTCAATAACTTACCAATTTACTCGATTTCACAACACATTTCATGAAATGCCTGTGAACGGTGAAAATCCGACCTCTGATCTGACCTGTGACGTCATCGGTTTGACCTAGGTCAATGAAATTTGGTCACAATGTAGTTTCCGGGTGGGGCTATCGAACGCCGTTTGAATTTTGAAAATCGGCTGGTAAATTTCCGAAATCTTGGGGGGGGGCGAGACGCCCCCCCCCCCCTACGGGTGGTAGGGTCCGCCGGTAGCCCTACGGGGCGCGGGTTAATACTTACTTGCTCAGCTTGCCGGCTTTGGCAGGTTTTTTCAGCGTCAACGACAGCCGGGCTGGGCAGGTCGTGTTTTTTGAGGACGGTTTAAGGTCAGCTGTTGCCGATCTTGGTCTGGTCTTGTGTTGGCAGCGCCATCTGGTCTGCCAAAAGATAAAATGGTTCCTGTCAATTCAGACTGGTAGGTTGCGTTGCGCGACAGACATGGCCAACAATGGACAGAGGACATGGATAAGAGACGTTGGGTGGACAGGAAAGTGTGACAACTAAAAGACGTGACAATGGCGAATTTGATAATCGCAAACGTAACGACTCATGGCTGGAAGCGTGTCAGGAAAAAAGAAACACGTGACAGTGGCGGACTGTATTGTGACACCAATTAATCTGATCTTATGCTTGCAGACATTTAAGATGAAAGACATTGGAATGGCAATCCATTTTACGAGGTTCTGAGCTTCTATATGAGTAGGGTTGCTAATAAGAGCACGCTTGTAGTAATCATTTTCAGTTCATGTTAATGAACTCGGTCACACTTACAATAAAAATACATCACACAAAGCTTACTCTGTAGAGGTTAGGGCATCGGGGGTTGTTCTTGCTCTCCTCCGTCTTCAAACCAGGGAAGGTCGAATCAACACGGAAAGTCTGCTTCGTTGCTGACTGGAATTCGGCGAACCAAGTCAGGAGCTCTTCCTCTCGTGTTACAGAGACACGGAATACCGTGTCGAAAAAGTCACCGGGAAGTCCTTCGAAGGAACATACGCGGTAGTCGTAGTTCGTAGGAAGCAGCTCCTGACAAGCAAAGGATTACGATAGGATTAGGTATGTGGTAGGAACGAGGGAGTAAAAAGCCGACGAAAAGCCGAAAATAGCGTCGATTTGTTGAACGGGAGTGTGTCGGGGTCCATTTTCGGGAGGATCTCCACTGAGCGGCGATGGGCAGTGTTCAAGTCTTTCGTGTATATCTACAAAACGAATTGAGCTAGGTAAATGCAATTTTCTGAGCATTACTTAAAAGTATTTCATATTGATAGCATATATATCCTGTCAAAATAGTGGTTCTATCTTGAACATCAGCGGCTCCACGGCTAATTTTCGGGAGGGCCCCACTGACCAGCAATGGGGCCTGGGTTTACGTGGATATCTCCAAAACGAATTGAGCTAGCCGCTTGAAACTTTCAGACTGTTCTCAACACTATAATAAGCATGTCCTGTCCAAGGTGGTGTCTATCTTCAATAGCAGGGGCTCCAGGGCTCATTTTTGGGAGCACCTCCACTGAGCGGCAGTCGGGCAAAACTGATATGCGAGCTGTGTAGCACCTGAGAATAACCACCCTACTGCGCCCCCAAAACTTTGATTTTTGCTTCCTCTAGAAAAAAAAACGAGAAATCGAATAGCGTTTGAATTTTCGAAATCAGTTCAGGAGATCGCGAGATCTCCGGGCGGAGAATAACGCCCCTCCCCCTGACACTAACTAAGGGGTAGCCATGAGCCTGGCACTAATACACGGAAGGACCCGGGCTTGGGCCAGCTTACGCAGACCAAACCAGGGGACACGTAGCGACCTTCTCCACATGTAGACGAAAGGGAACTTTTAAGATCATGATAGGTCGGCCGAAAAACGTCATAGTGACGGCATGTTCCGCCGGCATTGACCACAATATTTCCATAATTTTGTAAGCCGTAAAACAGGTCTAAATGTTACCCTCCAATCTCATCTAAATGTTGACCCACGCGGGGCTGGGGGGGGGGGTAAATTTTACCCCCCTCGCGAATTTTTGCAATGTCTCAAAAACGGCGGCGCGCAGCAAACTTTCAGTGCTTACATCAATTTGACACGTTCCCTGAAAATTTGAACGAAATCCTTCGGAAATTTTTTGAGAAAATGACGTTTTAGTGACGTCATGTTCGCCATTTTCGCCTCAAAAACGGCAAAATTTCAAACGCCCCTAACATCTTCATTTTTAAGGGAATCAAGACGTAACAAAAAGGTTATACGTGATTCTACTTTGTCTATCAAATTGCTATCTCGGTTTTTGAAAATGTTTGATTTTGGCCCAATTTTTCTAAAAAACTGACTTGTTTGGGAAAATAATTATAAAATCCAAAATTTTGCGTGTATCGGAAAAACCGGAATATATGTCAGAGAAGTGGTCCATGTGCACCTACATACCAATTTTTAGAAGAATCGGTTCAAAAATGTGGGAGTTATTCAAAATTTTATGACGTCACGACAAGCAAATTTTTTGAAAAATGATTTTTTTTGGAAGTTCTAGACCTCGTACGGAAACAAAAATAGCACCATTCGATTCGCCGTGAAAAACTGTATCAGATAGACGCCTTTTTAGGCCTTAACAACCAACTTCAAAATTTGACCTCACTTGACCTGACCTTGACCTGACCTCGACCTGAAATTCTTCCAGATGTGGTCCATATCACCTATTGAGTGTGCCTCTTGAGTTCTATGAATAAAATGACCCATAAAACATGTGTCGCACATGCCCTTTTCTATATTTTGTTTTTGGTGACCTGACCTGACCTGACCTCAGACCTGACCTTGACCTTGACCTCTGAATGATATTGTATGCAACGAATATTGTCTTGGTAGCATAAGAACACTTTTTGGGCAATCAGTCTCAGTCCATGACTCCATTTTTCGGCAACTACGGTGCCAGGCCGATACTGTAGAAACTTGCAATTTGTACCCTTGACCTTGACCTTGACCTCAAACTTTAAATTAAGTACATGTTTTTAGTTGTTGGTGATGAGATCTTTCGATTGGCGTTTGAATTTTCCAAATCGGACCATTAGTTCGGGAGATAACAGGGGGGTAAAATTTACACCCCCCCCCCCCCAGCCCCGCGCGTTCGGCTGGAGATCCCAGCCCCGCGCGGGTTAACCTCCGATTATTGTTACCTTTATCAGCTTTGCACGTTGACACAGCATGGCACATTTAGGGCATGCTGTTCCTAAATGTGCCTTTTGCAAGGTTCTGCGAAAACTCAAACTGTTGGTCGAACATTGGCACAACGGCTATTTATATGGTTTATTTTCATAAGAAAATGTTGAAAGTTTGCTGTAAGACTCAAGTTATGCGCACTCCGCAAAATGTTTAACCCTTTTACTGGTGGGGGGGGGGGAATCGCCCCTCCCCCTGGTAGTTTTTCTCCTCTCCACAGAAAGTCATAGGCGCCAGCTTCCTGACTAGAGTTAGGGACTTTTCAGATGCCCGGCAGTTGCTGGGGTAGTTCGCCACCCACCGTTTGCTGGGGGGGGGGGGGGGCGTTAAACGCCCCCAGCCGATAACTCGAGAACCAATAGGCGCAGCGAAACGCAGGAGGCGGCAAACGAAAGAACGCGATGAGACGCTTCAGATGAGTACTTTAAAGTTGAATTTTGAGGTCACAGGTCTGGTCAAGGTCAGGTCAAAAACCTGAAATCGGGCTTTCAGCAGCATGGACTTCGGGACTTCGCAATGGGCGCCTCTCAGGGGCCCGGGAACGATTTTCAAGTTGGGGGGGGGGGCGAGCCTAAAATACCTGACATGATGCATATGAAACAGTGGCGTAGCTAGGGGTCTAAGGGGACACGTACCCCCCCCCCCCATCGGGTTCAAAGGGACCTTCGGGTCCGAGGGGCCCTGCGGCGCCATTTGACCGCTGAAGGTCAAACCGCTGACCGCCCCATGGGGCTCGTTAGAGCACCTCATAGGCCCTAAATAGCCACACTAAGATCTCCATAAGGGGCCCACGCCGGCTTCTGAGCGCCTCTTGCGCCTTTTCAGGGCACCTCGGTGGTCTCCAAAGGCCCGTTACTGGCCTCTGAGAGTCCTTACCGGCCTATGAGGGGCCAGTTCTAGGGACATTTCCCGCCTGTGATGGTCCCACACTTATTTTTCTGAGGGCCCCATAACGGCAACTATGGGGCCCTCATCGGCGCCTATGAGGGCCCACACCAGTGTCTCTGAGGGTTTCACACCCCCAACTCTGAGTGCACATCAGTGCCTATTAAAATTAAGCCCTGTATCGGCGGCTCTGAGGAGTGAGGACCCAACCAACACCTGTGCATCTGAAGGCCACCCACCGGTGACTTTTGAGGGTCCCACACCGGTGAGTCTGAGGGCCCCACCGGCGTCTGACAGTACCATGCCGGTCTCTAAGGACCCCACAGGACTTCTTCTGCCGGCCTAGGGACCCCTTGCCGGTCACTGAGACCCCCTGCCGGCTTGTAGAGAGTTCGCGTCAGCAGCTCTAAAGCCCCCACACCCGTCTGTAACGGCTCCACACCAGCGTCTTTGAGGGCCCACAGCAACAGTGTCCCAAAATTGAGTTTTGTATTGGGTGTCAGAGGGGAAAATTACCCACCAAAAAGAGGGGAGAGAGTGGAAAACTGCTGATTCGATTAGATCAAAAAGGAGTGAGAAATGACAAATGACAAGCATGCATTTTATTCTAGGGTGTAGAATGTTTGATGCTAACTGGGCATCCACACAACTGTCTTTCTATAGGTAAAAAATCTATGTTTTCTTGGTTGGGACTTGGGAGTGGAAAATTGTTCTTAAAAATGGTGGTGAGAGTGGAAAATGAATTTCATTTGGATGTCGTTTCCCAATCAAATAGACAAATTTTGGGACATTGCACAGCAACGCCTGTAAGGACCCTCATCGGCGCCTCTGAGAGAATCACACTAGCCCCTCTGAGCGCCCACACCGGCACCTGCATGACGGCCCCACACCGGTGCCTCTAAAGGCCCCTTACCGACGGCTCTGAGGGCCCTACGCCGGTGATTCTGAGGGTGCTGCCGATAACCCAAGGCCTCGTCTAACATGTTAACTGGGGGGGCCAAACCCCCGCAGTCATCGGCCAGGCCCCCCCCCCCCCCAGTCAGGGCAAAAAGTCACTACTGGGGGGGGGGGGGGCCGGCAATATTAGCCAAAAGGCAAACGAATTTTTAGTTCAAGGCGTCAGTGCACATAAAAGCAAATGTGTAAACGAAACATGGATGGAATGTGAGCACATTGATACCTACCCGATTACTTAGGCCAGTTATCAAATGTTCATTTTGTTTACCTGACCTTGACCAATTTTTTTTTTCGCTCAGCAATACGTTACATTTCGTCTTTTTAGGCGCCCAACTCCGTGTCTCGGATATTTTTTTTTTATAAATTTAGTCCGAACCTTTTGAATGGAAGGATTCACAAGGACAGAGCCCCCGCTTAGCAGAGCTTGTTGCGTTGGCCCTGCCCTCTACCCTCCGATCGCGCAATTCCTGATCTATGGCAGAATTTAGAGCCCAAAGTTTAACGTATGCACATAGCCGCGCACGGCCGGTCCCCTCACTGACTTCGACTGGTTACGGCCTGCCACCAACCGCAACCATACTCGCCAGGAGGCTCATAAGTCATAAACATCGAGCGGCTCTGTCGTGCTTCGAGCCCGGACTGTTATAACCGGGACGCGTGCCCTCACCACGAGGAGTACAACGCTCTACCGACAAAAATTTCTCCTTTACGTATCAATCTGTTGTTTCTGTCCTCGGGGCGTTAATCTCTTGTTTTTGCCTATCGTCGTCCTCACTATGCGGCGTCCAACTTCTGGCTGGACGGTCACCGGTGTGCGGCTAGAGTAGCTCCTAATCGTAATGAAGCAGGATCCCGTGGTGGTCGTACGTAGGCGCAGATTGGTGGTCTGTCTGTGGGGACGGGAACTGACAGCTGGATTATCTAAAGAAGTCGGCGTGGAGTCCCGGTGGGCAAATGCCAGCCAAATGCCAGGCTGTAGGGTCCAAACGGGCCTCAAATTGCACTACTACACGGGGAAATCTTCATTTTTTTTGTAGTTTATAGCCTATGACAACCTTCAGGTTGTGTCGGACATCCACGGCGATTACGATTTACGGAGAATCCACCTGAGAAGCCATCAGTCTCCAAGTTGATACGTAGGCATTACATGATTACACTATAGTCTGTGGGGGGGGGGGGCTAGTGGGAAAATACTGTCTCCCTCCACTCAGATTGATCCTTAAAGCCTGGTATGGATCATATAAAGCCAGTATGGGCTACCATAGAGGCCGGCGTGGGTCCAGAAGCTGGTATTAGCCCTCAGAACTCGGCAGAGCTCAGAGTCAAACGCTCAGTATATGCGTGTGGGCCCCCGACATAAGGCTCGGCATGTAAATTCCTTAGACAAGGCACTGCCACTCAAACAAACGCTCAACACCGATAAGTGTGATTATTACTGTCTGATGGGGCAATGTGAGGAGGCTGCAAACTATATAAAAGCATGGGTCGGATAGCCTATTATTTTTTTTCTTAAGTTTTTAAAAAAAAAAATCATGATATCAGGGCTGTGATGAAAAATAAGTGGCCTAAATCCGGTGAGAAAACAGTTATATTTGGGGGTACCCTAGGTTTGGCTCCTTCAGGCTCTGGCCCCCCCCCCCCCCCCCAGTGAAAATTCCTTAGACGAGGCTCTGGGCACCACATAGGCCCTTAGTGTCGCTGAGCTTTAATCCCATACCGGCCCTCTAATGTATCCCATGCATCCCATCCCATACCGAGGGCGCCACGTCAGTGCACTCATTGCCCCACACCCCTCCCTCACACCCGGAGCGGGTAAACTGCGTTATACCAATAGCAACGATTTTACCACCGTTGTACGTTATGCATTTCTCAAAGTTGACTCAAAATGGTCCAGTATAAAACTGGCCTGCCAAGCTTATGGCCAAGGTCAGGCCCAAATCAAAGCGGGATGACAATAGCAGATGTTGTCAAATCGATACTGTATCAGCAGAAACCATTCAGATGGCAAGGAAGATGTTGTGTGTTGATGTTTAGATCTATAAAGGAAACAAGAAGGAAAGAAGTCCGGAAAAGGGAGGAAAGACCTTTCCTCGCTGCCTCAATGTTGAGGGGGCGCCGCCCCCTCTGCTCCCAAGTTGGGGGGGCAAGCGCCCCCGCTGCCCCCCCCCCTGTTCCCGGGTCTATGGCGCCTCTCGTCATAAACTCTGTCCAAACGGTGCACAATCCATCATATAAGGCCTACAAGAGTGTCAGCTCCATGTACGGGTCAGTCAAGCATAGGTCAGGGTCAAGGTCAGGTCCACCGGGTAGGCACATATCCCCGAAAATCAAAACTGATATTCGCAGCCTGTGACACATGTTTTATGGGTAATTTGGGGCGTAGAACACGATGGTGACATTCATTTTATCATAAGGGTACGTGTTTGGCTCAAAAAGTTCAATTTAAGAAATTCATGTATCATGGTCGTGAAGTAGTCACGAGAAATTGCCAAGATTCAGTTTAAGATTTTGGAAAATGCGGAATGATAATCAATAATCGAAGACAGCCATTTGATTCTTCATGGTATTGGCAGTCTTATGGCGTTTACGGCATGTCTGTAGGTCTATTCTGTGATTTTATATGATTTTTTGAACATATGCCGTTTTTGGTCGAAAACTCAGAAATCATGACGTAACTAAAACCTCGATATCTCAAAAATTTTCTGACTGATTTTTTTTTTAAACTTTGTCACAATAAAGTTCAATAAATTCCCTACAGGTACCCAAAATTTGGCGCGCCTGCGGCGCGCCGTTTTTATGCTATGGTCCGGCGAAAAAAGTGGGGGTGTTTAACGCCCCCCCCCAGCAACTGGCGGGTTAATTGGTGACATTGTACCAAAATTTTGAGGTCCTAGCTTGAGCAGGGACGTCTCCAAAGTCCAAGGCTAGTTTATCGAGGGTATTTTTCGCCCAACTTTGACTTTTCTTACATTTGCCGATGAGGAGCGAGTTCCTCATGTTCGCATGAGACCTGTCATATAAGTGAAGTAATCTTGATTCCCCCGTTCTGCTGTACCTGAATCCGACTATGCTATGCATAAATAAGCAACTACATGGTATTCCAATCATGTGAGTACCTCACAGACCTTAAGTTATGCTCGAAAGACGTTTCTTTTTTAAACAAAATACTTCAAAAATATTTATCCCATTTTTACCCACCTGAAACCGCCTATGATTTTCAAATTTTACAAAATCCTCAACATATTTGAAGGACCCATGTATAAAGAAACATATCCTAAGGTTTGTCTAAATTGAATGAGAAACAACAAAGTTATTGCAATTATAAGGGTTAGGTGAAATATGCGAAATTTTCAGAATTGCTTGCCCTCTGAGACCCTATTTTTGAACTTTTTCCACCTCTTTTGGATGAATCTAAAAGTTTACATTGAGAGGAATCAAATGGTGTTTGTCCCATCAAAATCAGTCGTTAAGTTCTCAAGATCTGACAGGGGCCTTACCTATCTCATCTCAAGGAAAGTGAATGGATAAAACAGACAGGAGGTCATTTTATGTAACGTTTACTTACCGTAAGATTCCGGAAACTAGTCGAGTTGTCCTTGCTGCATGGGCACAGCTTGATATTAGCCATTTTCAGACATGTAGCCTGAAAAATAAGGAAGTTCAACAGTAAGCATTTTCCATGCAAGGGAGAGAAGTCTCAACTGAGCGCCGTGTCTGAACACTACACTTCTCAGATTCCATGGAAAATAATATAAATCCAGTCATGATGAACAGTGAACACAAATTAATACTTCTGATATCCACTCACCTGTGCCCCATGTACCTATGGGAGACTTCGCTTGAACTTTGAAATGAAATTGAAATGGGTATCAGCGAAGATAAAGTGAAAGAAAGTCGGCAATCCCGGCGTAAACACCTCTTTGCATAAAAAATAACGTAACAAACATAGTATACAAGCCAGCTAGTGGTATTTGATATCAAGCGCTTCAAACTCACCTGCAAAACGAACCCAAACGTCGCCCAAACGAAACGAACCCGAACGTGTTTTTATATACCTTCTTGCCCGAACCGATGGCGGTTTATATCAGGGTATATAGAACAACATATATATAACATATAGGTTTATATAGCCTTGCGATGGCCAACGAACGAAACACAACGCACCAGCAGAAGCGACTCCGTGGGATGCGAACGCTGTTGCTAAGCAGCCCCAATGCATTGTGGGTCTGACGTCACTGACCGGGGAGGGAAGCCAATCAAACGCGCACTGTGCATTGCTCCGGCTGGGAAAAAAAATCACGCGGCCGGGACTTCTCCACCATCTTTCTGAAGGTGCCAGATGCCGTCGTCCGCCTGACGGGGCCGAGCTCGGACATGGTTAGTTTTGTGAGTCTTGCCGTCCTCAAGACTGGGACTGTCAGTCTCAGCTCTGGGATGCCGAGTCCTCCGTCTTTCGGGTGGGCGTGTATGTATGCCGAGGGGGCGTCCTTGGGCAGATGTAGGTAGCTCGTGATTGCGCCTCAGATCTGTTGGTGAAGGGCCCTCAGCGGGCTTCGACGGATTTCTCCCAGCACGAGGACGTGCAAAGCCTGTGGAATCACATACTCGCGAATGACGGTGAGGCGTTGGTGCGTCTTCAGGGGGACTCTCTTGATTTCGGCCAGTTGTTCGGTCACTTTCAATCCTAAATCCTTGGTGATCCCTGTGCTGGAGTATTTGATGCCCAGGTACTTGACCGCACCTTCGTTCCCCAGGTTGGGTAGGGGAGAGCCCCGTACCGTGATGCGGACCTGGGCGTCGACGAACCGGATCTTCTTCCGGCCGTCGACCCTGGCGACTGACGTCCAGCACTTTTCTGGGTGGATGGACAGTCCAGCACACAGCATTGCATCGACGATGGAGTTGACTCGATGCTCGAGCATGGTTGGGGTCCGAGCCATGGGGTCGTGCTTTTACAAATACAAATACAAATAGTAGATAGGGACAGTGGGAATCTCGTTGATCCATTCATGCGCGTCACTAATTAGATGACGAGGCATTTGGCTATTTAGGTCTGCATTTATAATTTTCACTTACGGGTGATAACAGACATACAGTACGGATGGCGGCACCTCGGCGCCCGCCATTAACATGAACCACGGACACTTGGCGCCGCAGGCGCTATCACATGATTAGCCCCTTTCTTTATAGTCGCGGGGCTCAACGACTTCGGGCGGAGAGCGCGGGGGGCGCCTCGGGCTTCCGCCGTCATCTTGCTGTCGGCGGCGCCCCCCGCGCCCGCCAACGCTCCGCACACCACCGGTCGTCGTTATCCGTTCCGTATCGCACCTTCGGGAGTCCAGGTAACGGCTTGTTGTGTCCATCGGTATGGTCGGTGACTGGACTCTTCGCCTACCCGATCCCTTGTCGGGTCATTGGCGGTCTACAAGTCCTCCTTCCCTCAACACCGCTTGCAGTCGCGGTGGAGTTACGGAAGATCTTGTAGACTTGTTGAGTGCCCTCAAGCGCCCGAACGGACAGGAGCTCAAGATGGCGGGGGCCAAGGCCGAGATCCGTCAGGGCCTCAGCCGAGGCCTTGGAGAAGGCGCCGCGCCAGTTGAGCGTCACTGAACCGAATCGGACACTTTCGGGCGCGACACCCAGAGATTGGCCGGCGTACTCTCGGATGACGGGCTGTCATAGTACGCCCGCTTCTGCTGGTCTGCGGCATCGAGGTCGCCGTTGTCAGCCACAATCTGGGCGTAGATGACTGCCACTTGTCCTCGGATCTTGACCAGGAGGTCTGGTTTTCTAAGTTCCGCGGGGGTGTTGGTCGTCGGCTCCTTGACCAGCGCCGACGCCCCGCGGTCCTTGAGGAACTTGGCCGCCAGGTCCAGGACCCGATTGTGCCTGGCGGTGCGTGGTGCGGCCGTTCGATGACACACCTGCGATATGTGAGCAAGGGTCTCCAGTGCGGAGCACCCCGCATCGCAGGTGGCCCGGCCGCCCTCTGTGTTGGCCCTGAGTGCCCGTTGGGCCGTATACAGGAGGGTGCCGCGCACCTTGATGGCACCGACAAAGTGACAGCCCCGCAGAGGGGGCTTTTACGCTCGGATCCACTCATTGACGTGTGGGACGCCAGCAGCGGCTTCGAGGCCGCGTCCATTCGAGGCCGTAAGAGAGTCATAGTTACTCCCGCCGTTTACCCGCGCTTGGATGAATTTCTTCACTTTGACATTCAGAGCACTGGGCAGAAATCACATCGCGTCAACACCGACCTTGGCCATCGCGATTGTTTCTGCCGCCACTTCACTTTTGCCTTTCCAAGTAAGCCCAATCGATAAAACTCACTGTGATTCTGTATTGATTCATGACTAAAAGCGGTTTTAACAATTAACGGGCCAGCAGTAGCGGCAAAATAAAGACAAAACAATTGCGGATGAAACAGTTGCCAAGAAACTTACAGGGTAATTTTTTTTTAACTGTTAAAAAGTAAATGTCAACGGTGGTCCCTAAATCGAAAAATCGCGTGCAAAAAAGCAATGCACGTGATATATAAATCTGGGACATTTTGTATGGTGTCATGATTTGTCCCTTTTAACCGAAGGCCTCGGCCCCAATGGTGCCTGAAATTGTCCCACCAATCGGGCACGCATGGTCCACCGCCGTTCAGTAAGGAACGACACAAAACGATGATTTTGAAGCATTGAGGCAATTCGAAGCATGCAATCATCGAGGAGATATCCCAGAAAGACGTTAAATAATGCACGAACAAGCTTTTAGTCATAAATAACCTTCAAACGGTCCATCTGGCGTATGTGTAGCCTCTGAAGAATCAGTCTTCAGGGAGAAAGAAAAACAGCGAATCAGACACCACCAGGGCCGCCAGTATCGAAATCCTCGACCTGCCCTTCATAGACTTCTAGTTTTTGGACCCAGCTATGGCAGATATAACAAGAAAACATTGGAAATATCTGGCAGAGCTAAAAATGGGTGATAGGAGCCTTTTCAGTCCGCCTAAAGGGTCTAGGAGTCCACGGTGCTGTTCAACACGTGCTCAGGCGGGCATATTCGTGTCGGTGAGAGAGGGGGCAACTTCAAGCACAAGTAAAATACACGATGGACGTTCCTTCACATCGTGTCTGCATGAAATCAAAATGTCCCAGAATGCTTGTCATCCTGGTATATAATTTTGCAATATATATTTATATTTTAATGCCACTAGACCTCATTACTTTTTAACAAGTAAAAAAAAAGTCACCCTGTAGATATGAAAACAAAAAACAACAAATAATCTAAATCTTCTTAAGTAAAATCCAGTCTTCCAGTGCAAATTTCAAAGCAATAATTCGGGCTCGTTCTTCTTCTTTTCTATCGCTGTTCGCGGGACCTCGTACCTCTGGGATCCTTTGTCAACGGGTATCAAAATTTTCACAGCCGCTACAACACCCCCCCCCCGTAAAACCGGGTACGGTTTTCAAATTCTTCGGTACTTTAGTTAGTTCTGTTTTCTAATGTCGTTCCTACTGTGTCTCTTGACCCTACTGGCTCTGTCGCTCGATCCAAACCAACTTGTTCGTAGGACGCTCTACTGTTTTGCCACGCATTCTGACCGATACAGAGCGCACGAGGCCATCAGTGCTTCTTTTCACTGATGTCACCAGGCTGAGCGGCCGCTGGCCTCGAGTTATCGTATGATCGGCGACAAGAACCACATCACCTACCGCTAAATTGTTCTGCCGAGTCTGATTTGATGATCTTTCTTGTAGTAGCGGGAGGTAGGTATTCTTTTTGCCAGCTCTTCCAAAATTGGTCTGCTAGATACTGAGCCTGTCGCCAAAGTTTTCGTCCATGAAGGTCTTCACCCTTAAATACGCCAACTGGGATCGAAAGCGATCCTCTTGAAAGAAGAATATCGTTCGGTGACAGAGGATCCAGATCCTTTGGATCGGCGGACACAGGTGTTAATGGGCGGCTGTTCAGTATGTATTCAACTTCGCACAGGAATGTGTGAAGCGTTTCCTTGGTGAGGAACTGCAGGTGAAGCAAAGAATCTAAAATCTTGCGTACACTCTTGATCATACGTTCCCATGCACCGCCGAAGTGGGAAGCACCTGGAGGATTAAAGGGACTATCCCACCTTCTAAAATGTTGTTAAAACCAGTTAAATTGTCCCCGACTTTATAGATTGGATGACCAGGAACACGGTTCTGGCATTCATTTTTTCATTAAACATCTTAGGCTTCCCATATTCCAAACACAAACTTTCAAATATATGACGTCACATCCCAAAATTACCTCCTTCCCCAGGCCACATTACTGTCATAAAGCTGATTCTTTTTACTCTGTAGGCACCACAACAAAGTTCAGACCAAGTTTTAAGCAATTTTTCAACGAACAAACCCATTTAAATCAGAATGGCTAAACGAGGTGACGTCACACTAACGGTCGCTCCATGTTGAAGATAGGGCCTTGTACAAGGCCCATTTTCAAATGAAGGGAACGAATTTCTTCAACACCAAGAGGCCGCGGGGGTTGCAACCTAGATAGATAGTGGTTTCTGAACCTCGCCGCAAACTTGGCTATCTCAACTCAAACCCCATGTTAAAGGTGGGATAGTCCCTTTAAAACGCCACTGAATCCTGTTCTTGAGCAATGTTTCTTGCATTGTTTTGTTTTGTTCCACGAACGATTCCAGCTCCTTGCCAAGCTCACGCATGGCTCCTACAAAATCGGTACCTCTGTTGGATCTCATCTGTTTGATTGGTCCTCTGCGTGCTAAAAAGCGCCGTAAAGCGCATATAAACGAATCTGTTGAGAGACTGTTGGCGACTTCAATATGGATAGCTCGCATGCTCAAGCAGGTAAATATGACCCCGTATCGTTTTGCTTGTCCTCGGCCCTTCTTGATGAAAAAAGGTCCAAAAAGATCGATTCCAGAACTTGAAAAGGGTGGATCGAAGGGAGTTACCCGGTCTAGTGGCAGATCCGCCATCTTTTGTTTCTTGACCTGTCCGTACAAACGTCTGCGGTGGTGACATTTGGCAAGAACACGCCTGACGGCGCTATTTCCTTTGATTATCCAATATGACTTTCGTAACTCTGAAAGTAGGGTAAGGGCGGGTAAGAGGACGCGGGCGATAAGAGTACGCATCAGCTGTTTCGGTTGCCTAGCAACGCGAGTTTGTCGAGTTAATGAAGTGACATGAAGCCGCCAGTGCGTGCTTGTCACCAACGGAACGTGGGTGTTGTGCGGCGACGCTGTTGAGTTTAAGGCGATGAATATTATTTTGGAGCGTTATTATATTATTATGGTATGGTACAATAATTTTCATACTTGGCAGTTGAGATAAGGCACATTTTCGTGATTGTTGTGGGAAACTTGTGAGGTTCTCTTGGAAAATGCTGTGCAGTGCCATATTCTGTTTGTGAAGTTTTGCACGATGTTCAGGGTTGTTTAGTGCGCGAATTGCATGTCTGGTAAGAGGACGCACTGTTCATGAGGGTAAAAGTACGCAGAATTATACATTATATCGAATATACAGAAATATAAAATTATTAATTATCGCTCAATGACGTTTGTTTTGTAGGTATATCATCAATGGCGCACTGTGAGGCAGATGCGTAACCGAAATTCTTCTAAATACGAGTTATTCGCCCTTTTGATTATACATTTTTATAGAACCACATGACTTGATTATTTTTTATTTATATATTTGCAAAATTTATTTTATGTTTTTCTTTTTTGGTACTAGAAATAACTCAAATGTCTTCTGAGTTTGATGTTAAGCATTTGGGCAGTACAAGTTGCATAGGTGTGAATTCATAAGCTTGCGTACTCCACCCGCATGGTGTGCGTACTCATACACACCCCATGTGGTAAGAGTACGCAACAGCAGCGATTCAGAAAACGTCAGTTTTAGACCACTTCTACTTACGCTGAAGGATCGTTGCCTCATGGGTTGATGGCTAATTCAATGGACTTTAATATTCCATATTTGCGATTTCTTTCTTTCAAATATTAAACAAATGAGAGCAAGAAATCCACTAAGTGCGTACTCTTATACTTCACCCTACGTGTTCTCGTCCCCCGTGGCCAATCTCTATGTGAACCTTCTGTATCAAGAGTTCAGTCACCTTGCTCTTGTTGGGTAGAATGATTGGAAATTTCGCTGCATCAGGCAGTGATGAGTTTCTCAAACGCCCTCCGACTCGAAGCAGACCGCCATGCATTTCCGGATCCAAACGATACAGAGTACTCTGCTTTCGAACGTTGTCTACAGATAAGTTTAGCTTCTCCTGATGGAAATGTATGTCCTGCTCTTGCAGCAAGATGACGCGTTCAGATTCCAGTAACTCTTCAACTCCCAGACCTTCAAGACGCCTCTCTCTACGCAACAACACTGACTTTACGCGCAGAAGCCATGCCACCACTCGCGTTAAAGTCCACCATGATGAGTAGTAGTTGATAAGTGTTTGTATTGGAGATGTATTGTCAGCACCAACAGTTCGAATGGTGCAGGCCGTTACAGCCTTCTTTACCTCAGGATCATTGTTGTCGACAAATGGGTCTATTTTTCTTCTGGCCATGCCTCTTCGTTCTTCCACAGGAACTCAGGTCCAATTTTCCACGCCTTGTTCGTGACGAGGCTGGCTCCGTTTTGCCCACGAGACACAAAGTCAGCAGGATTGCTTTTCGAACAGACGTGCCGCCATTGACCAGGATCAGATCCATCACGGATGATCGCGACACGATTTGCTACAAACACATGGTATCTTGCAGTGACGTTTCTGATATACTTTAGAACTGCTGTACTGTCTGTCCAAAAGTATACTCTGTTGACGTGTAGCTTTAAAGCTTTGATGATTGTGTGATTTACTTTCACAGCCAATGCTGCAGCCGACAACTCAAGGCGAGGTATGCTCACCGTCTTTATGGGCGCAACTCTTGATTTGCTGCATAAGAGTGAGCAATGGACCCTTCCTGTTCTATCCAGCAGACGTATGTAGGCAACTGTCCCATAACCGTTCTCGCTTGCATCTGAGAAATGATGTACTTCAACGCTCTGGATAAGATCAAAATCTGGCGGTTTTATACATACACCGACTCAGCTTGAACTGCAACAGTATGGCCACTTGTTTTGTCCAGACATCCCGTCTCCTTTGGAATGCTTGGGGCACAATTTCATCCCACCCAACTTGTGCGCGCGTAAGCTCTTGCATCAAAATTTTTGCGACCATAATGAATGGAGATGCTATCCCTAATGGGTCATAAATAGATGCCACCACAGACAGTAGCCCTCTTCGAGTGTGAGGTGCCATCGCAAAACGATGTATGTCAAAGCTTAGACCAATGGCATCCTCATCAACGTTCCAGTACATTCCCAAAGCGTGTTCTGCTGGAAGATTGTCCTTCGTCAAGTCAATATCTCTCACTTGCGTTGACTGCTCTTGTTTAGGCACAGAAAGCAAAACTCTTCTACAATTGCTCACGAACTTAGTGAGATGAAACCCACCCATTGTACAAAGCTTTCTCAGTTCTGCCACCAGTTCAATAGCTCGGTCTTCTGAGTTCACAGATTTTAAACAATCGTCAACGTAAAAATTGTCTGTCAACGTCTTGCCAGCCTCTGGGTGAAAACGGTGTCCGAAATCGACTGCAGTGCGACGTAGCGCATAATTGACACAGCTGGGTGAAGACGCCGCTCCAAATAAATGCACCGTCATTCGATATTCCTCGGGATCTCTGTGCAAATCATTGCATGGCCACCATAGAAATCGTAGTAAGTTTCTGTCTTTCTCGGGAACATGAACGTTCATAAACATTGCTTCAATGTCAGCCATGAAAGCCACCCTTTCTTGTCTGAATCTCACGAGAACGTTAAACAGCGAATTGGTTATGTCCGGGCCTTGAAGCAAGGAGGCATTGAGACTAATACCCTTGAATTTGGCCGCACAATCAAAAACGATGCGCACCTTGCTCAGTTTTCTGGGGTGGTATGGTACACACCATGGTGCGGTATATACCATTTGCGACAGTTTCTCTCGCATATGTCTTCTGTAACCCTTTCGGCGTATCCCATCTGTATCTCATCCATTCCCATCCCATCTGTATCAAATGATCAAATCTGTATCAAATGATCCCATCTGTATCATCTCATCCATTCGTGCTGCGTAATCTTCAAAATATTTCGTATTTTTCTCTAATTTCTTCCTCAGAGAACCAAGGCGATTCATTGCCATTGCACGATTATTTGGCATGTCGACGACATTGTCTCTCAACGGAAGGGCGATTTCATAATGACCTGTATCTGTTCGTTTACACGACGCTTCTGTTTTTGTCAGCCACATCCTATCTTCAACAGATGGACCCATGTCGGGTGAAGATATCTCGTCTACGATCGAATCCCAATTTTCTTGTACTTATACGGCGTGAAATTTTGCGATTTGGCTTGCATTTTTAGCCCCTCCTAAGATCCATCCTAAACGGGTACGGACAGCAAATGGACCGCCCTGCTGGCTCCGTAACACCTCCAGTGGTTCCATAGCCTGAGCTGCATTGCTGCCGAGTAGAATCTCGATAGGGCCATCTACGGGATAAATTTTGACACCCTGATTTTGCAAATACGGTGGAGAATCCTGGTCCTGAGGGATGTCAGCCATGTTTAGCGGAATTTCTTGTAACGTCAGTAGGGGTGGCAGATCAATGTCTTCCGAACCGTCTAGGTTTCTAATTTTCATGCCTCGAATGACGTTACTTGCGATGTTTTGTCGGCTATTTACGGTGTTTAGTTGAATAGAAGTGTTTTCAGGCGGATGCAAGTTCAATTTCTTCAGGAGCGAAGGACAACAAAACGAATGAGTAGACCCTGAATCCAGGAATGCATTTGTGTACACGAATTTATCATCACAGACGGCCAAAACAGGTACAACGTTCAGCTTCGCTCCATAAATGAAACTTCGATCGCTTGAAATGTGGTTCACGGTCGTTTTCGGCTGCTCGATTCGGCTGATTTTCGGTCGTTCGTTCGAGGTGTTCGTGTCGTTTGAAATGTGATACATAGTCGAGTTCAAGTATTCGCTTCGTCGTTCGTTCAAGTTATTCGTTTCGATCCCAGCGGCTTCGCTAGACGTATTCGTTGGCGGAATAGGCGCTCTGTGCAGGGCAGTAGGATGTCTGCCGTTGCAGCGTCCGCAATGCCGTCTTCGCCTGCAAGAATTTGCCATATGTCCGCGTTCCAAACAGCCAAAGCACAATCCCATTTTTAGAACATATGATTTTTTTGCTTCTTCAGACAATGAGGCTAATTCCTTGCATTCAGATACGTCATGAGGGTGTCTACAGTAGGTACAGCTCTCTGAACGTGATTCACTGCTCCCAGGTTTCGCTCCATGACCATGTGTTGCGGTTTCGTTGATTTCTTGTGGTGGGAAACATGTGCCTTTCGTACCATGGATTTGCTGCAATACTAGCAAATTTTTCCACAAAACATACAAAATCTTCAAAATCAGGTTTTCGCTCTTCTCGTTCTTCAATATTGTAGACATGTACGCGCCAGTTTTCCGTTGCCTCCCACGGCAACCGGCCAAGCATCTGTCTTATCGCCTTGGAATCAATTTCAGACATTCCGTGAGGAATATTTTGCAAGGCATTTAAACAACCTCTGAGATAAATTCCGAATTCATCAAGACTTGTAACGTCATTTCCTTCGATTGATTTCCACGACAAAATGTTATCGATTAATGTTGCCACCACTCTATTTCCATCCCCGTACCTTTTGTGAAGAAGACGGCGAGCCTCCGAGTAGCCCTTCTCTGGCGGCAAGTGCAAGCAAGTTTCAACGATGTTATTTGCGACTCCACTAGTCATTTGATGAAGGTAATATAATCTTTCTTCATTATTATTACATTTGTTCGATACTGTGGCTTCGAATTGTCTTATAAAGTTTGCATATTGCATTATATTCCCGTCAAATGTTAGCCGAGACATTTGGGGAAGCTGCATTTGCCTAATAATTTGTAAAGTAGGTTGGCCAAATACCGTAGACTCTTGATCAGGACGCGCCATTGGTGACCGACAGGAACGATATGATGCCGAATTATCTACCGTTTCTTCGCAAAGAGAATTCGAGTTTCTTCTCGCCGGTTGCTGCTTTTCAAATTTCCGATCATTCCATAACTCTTGCATTTCTCTTTTGATTTGGTTCATTTGTTCTTCTACTTCAAACTGAAAAATGTCTTAATTTTTCTGTTTCTTTCATGTTTACTTTGAAGAGACTGACACTTCTCCGATAACTGGGTTTTTGATCGACAGGATTCGTGAAGAGACGCTGCGTCATCCTCAGAAGCGCTCAGGACTACTTCATCTAAAAATTTTTCAAATAATTGCTCTAAGCGACTTCGCAATTCCGAATTTCCTGAAAATTTATCAGTGCTTATTCTTGTCTTTACTCCTGTTTCAACTCGGCCACATTAAGGTCGTCCATATCGTATTCGTTTGATTTCGATGTCTTCGCTGGATCGCTTCGATCGTTCTTCGTTCGTTGATTGTCCTATCCTGATTAAGAATTACTGAACATTGAATTTAAGATGTGAAATAATGGCAAATGGCAACTGTTTAATGTCTAAGCCCTTGTTAAAACTGTTTCTGCCGCCACTTCACTTTTGCCTTTCCAAGTAAGCCCAATCGATAAAACTCACTGTGATTGTGTATTGATTCATAACTAAAAGCGGTTTTAACAATTAATGGGCCAGCAGTAGCCGCAAAATAAAAACAAAACAATTGCGGATGAAACAGTTGCCAATAAACTTAGATATGAAAACAAAAAACAACAAATAATCTAAATCTTCTCAAGTAAAATCCAGTCTTCCAGTGCAAATTTCAAAACAATAATTCGGGCTCGTTCTTCTTCTTTTCTATCGCTGTTCGCGGGACTTCGTACCTCTGGGATCCTTTGTCAACGGGTATCAAAATTTTCACAGCCGCTACAACAGCGATGCTATGATTTAATTACTCAGTTGGATTCCTCTGGTCCGTGCCAGTTCTAAGCTGCTTCTTGATTGCCGAACGACGCGGTGGTTCCCGTTATTTATAAAAATTTTCAAGACGGGTGATAACAAACATACACTACGGATGGCGGCGCCTCGGCGCCCGCCATTAACGTAAGACCACTGTAGTTGCTGTTCGCCACCAAAGACCTTGATGATCAACACTCGCTGTATTTGGCTGAGGTTTCTGCGGAAGCAAAAACACGTAGATGAAAGAAAGAAAGAAAAATTGTCAAACCAAGCTCACACCAAGCCAAGCACCAGCCATCGCCACTGATCAATCTCTCATTCTGATCACCCAACTATCCATGTGCAAGTATCCAATACCAAGATACGAGTACCAAATTTTTCCAATATTCTTTAACTGCACACAATGACACGTACGAATCCATAGACCAAGCAACATATACCAAGCTATTGGCTAGATTTATATACTACCATAGACATAAACCCGTACCATCAGAATGGGGTCTCCGACGAACATCAGGCGAACACCAACGCTCCAAACCAAGTCGCCGATCCAAGGCGGGCCACCAGCCCAGCGGGCCAAGTCGGCGAGTCACAGTTCTCTCCAACCAAGTCGAACCACCCAAAGGCGGGCGGCCAGTACGTGTGATACACCTGGACAGGTAAACGAACCACGTTTACGAAAGTGGCGCAGACGGAAAACATGGCGCAAATAATGAATCTACGGTAATTGACATACAAATGGATTATAGCCGCAGTTTTATCGCAGAAAGTTAAACAATGACATCCATGAATAAAAAGTGACATAAGATCGTAACATAATCCAGCAAATTTACGTCCAAAAATACACAAATACTTACAGAGCACGCCGCGCCAATACACCAAACCAATCCAAAATCCAAAGTGACACCGAGAGCCAGACAGAAACCGATAACACCTCCGACACAATATTACCACAAATATCTACGAAGCGCGAATCGGTCTTTCCCAAATTAGCACTCGGGAAAAAGAGAAGTGTCGCAAATACCCAAAATACATCTCAAGGCTACTTTGTGCAGAAACATGAAAATATTCCCTTTGTTTACATCGATAACCATTCTCCTTCAGCTCTATTACTACACAGGGCCAGCAGAATAACCGACAACATTTTCGGACAGAAACCTTTTCTCGAATAAACCTTTCGCGATAAATAAAGACAAATGCACCGAACATTCTACAGCAAAGACAATTTAAATCATCACATAGATATTCTCACTAAAAATACGCGACTACGCCTATCTATTCTCGTCATCCATCACAAACCCTAGCAGGTGCTGACCTCTATATCTCCAACGCATCTCTGTACTCGACGTAGGTGGCGTTGGGCGCGGACAATAGCCAACTACCAACCGTCAAAACGGTAAGCGCCCTTACAACCACGGACACTGGGCGCACGCAGGCGCTATCACATGATTAGCCCCTTTCTTTATAGTCGCGGGGCTCTACGACTTCGGGTGGAGAGCGCGGGGGGCGCCTCGGGCTTCCGCCGTCATCTTGCTGTCGGCGGCGCCCCCCGCGCCCGCCAACGCACCGCACACTAGCCAGTCTTCTTAGTCCGAAGCGTGTCGCAGCATGAGGAGTCCTGGCACCGGCTTGAGGTGTCCGTTTTCGCCTAGCCGATGCGGTCTACAAGTCCTCCTTCCCTCAACACCGCTTGCAGTCGCAGTGGAGTTACGGAAGATCTTGTAGACTTGGTGAGTGCCCTCAAGCGCCTGAACGGACAGGAGCTCAAGATGGCGGGGGCCAAGGCCGAGATCCGTCAGGGCCTCAGCCGAGGCCTTGGAGAAGGCGCCGCGCCAGTTGAGCGTCACTGAACCGAAACGGACACTTTCGGGCGCGACACCCAGAGAGTGGCCGGCGTACTCTCGGATGACGGGCGTGTCGTAGTACGCCCGCTTCCGCTGGTCTGCGGCATCGAGGTCGCCGTTGTCAGCCAGAATATGGGCGTCGAGGACTGCCACTTGTCCTCGGATCTTGACCAGGAGGTCTGGTTTTCTAAGTCCCGCGGGGGTGTTGATCATGGGCTCCTTGATCAGCGCCGACGCCCCGCGGTCCTTGAGGAACTTAGCCGCCAGGTCTAGAACCCGATTGTGCCTTGCGGTGCGCGGTGCGGCCGTTCGATGACACACCTGCGATATGTGGGCAAGGGTCTCCAACGCGGAGCACCCCGTATCGCAGGTGGCCCGGCCGCCCTCTGTGTTGGCCCTGGATGCCCGTTGGGCCGTATACAAGAGGTTGCCGCGCACCTTAAGATGGCACCGACAAAGTGACAGCCCCGCAGAGGGGGCTTTGACGCTCGGATCCAGTCATTGGCGTGTGGGACGCCAGCAGCGGCTTCAAGGCCGCGTCCATCGACGGTTCCCAACAATGTGTCGCGATGATACCGCCGAATGGCCGCTTTGGAGTCGAGTCGAACTCCATTACGGGTGACGGGCTCGCTCTGGTGCAGGAGTCCCCTGATGTAGGATCCTCCTGCGAGCTCACGTACACTCTCGTAACTGCTGTTGAGGATACGACTGGCTCGATCGTACCTCATCAGCGGGATCGTTACTCGGAGCTCCGGTACCCCGAGACCACCATCTCGCACGCGCGCATGGATGAACGCATCCGAGGCGTCCGGAGGCAGGTGGAGCCAAGAACGGACGCTCTTTCGGATCGACTGGTCGAGTCGTTTCAGCTTTGTACTCCTGCATTTCCCAAGCACCAAGGTGTGTAAGGCACCAGGGATGATGCTGGTTCGCGCAGGAAGTGCATCCTCTGCTCCGGTTTGAGGGGTGCATGCGTCAGTTCACCAAGCTGGCGAAGCACCGTCTCTCCGGTAGCCGGTTTGATACCTGTGTGGTCCAACTGGAGGCCCAGGTATTTTACCTCACCGACCGCTCCGACGTTGGGAAGCGGTTTCCCGTTCACCAGGACTTGATGCGAGGCATCGACGTGCATCGACGTACGTCCTCTTGTGCCGGCCGTCTACTTTACGGACGAGGACCTGGCACGTGGTCGGACTGATGCCTAGCCCCGCCTGGCTGAGGGTGTCGGTGAGCACCTGCAGCCGGTGCTCTCACATGGCTGGTCCTTGCCAGCACAACCAGATCGTCGGCGAATGCCAGGACGGTTGACGGGTCGACCGGCGAGACGCCGAGGGTGCAGACCGCCTCGTCCACGACACTGTTGAACAAGTGAGGGGAGAGGGGATCGCCCTGGCGGACTCCGCGGGTGGTCCGGATCACACAGCCTCGACGAATCTCTGTAGTGGACCCGGTGTACATCCCGTGAATCACGTCCACGATTGGTGGCGGCATGCCAATGCATTCCGCAGCACGGCTGATCGACTGGTGCGATACACTGTCGAATGCCTTCGCCACGTCTATCCAGGCTATTGCCAGCGGTTGCCTATGATGCTGCGACTCGCGCATGATCGCATCGAGGAGCCAGGTGTTCTCCGCTGTTCCATGTGCTGGGATGAAAGCGCGTTGCACTGGGTTCAGTGGGCACAGTTTAGACGCACGACGTGCGAGGATCTTCGAGAACAGGCGCACACGCACCGACGAGATGGTAATCGGCCGAAACCGGTCGGGCGTGGAGAGAGTCATAGAGAGTCATAGTTACTCCCGCCGTTTACCCGCGCTTGGATGAATTTCTTCACTTTGACATTCAGAGCACTGGGCAGAAATCACATCGCGTCAACACCGACCTTGGCAATCGCGATGCTATGATTTAATTAGTCAGTCGGATTCCCCTGGTCCGTGCCAGTTCTGAGTTGCTAATTGCCGAACGACGCGGTGGTTCCCGTCGACCGCGCGCGCGCCACCGTTACCGGCGACGACACGCGACGGCCAGACAGGCCACACCATTATTACATCTGAAGCTATGAGTGTTAAAGGGGTTTTCTTTGGGGGACGAAAATAAGAAAACGGGGCATGGAAGTATTTTGGGGGAAGAGATTAACTTCAAAGGGTATAACAGAATCTATTCCCTGTGAAGATTAGCATTGCTAGACTGTATAACAGAAATTATACCGTACCTAATTAATATATTTCATTTTTTCTCTCTCTCTCCCTCTCTTCCTCTCTCTCTCTCTCTCGCTCTCTCTCTCTCTCTCTCTGTCTCTCTCTCTCTCTCCCTCTCTCTCTCTCTCTCTCTCTCTCTCTCTCTCTGTCTTCCTCGTTCCTCCCTCGTTTAGTTGTAGCATTTGCAGCCTTTACCATTGTTCCGTTGCTGAGATAATCTCTGTAGTAAAAACAGCATTGCTGACTATTTTGTATTTTCGTTACCGTTCTGAATCTTCACCATCCGTGAGGCTCATTGTAAAGACCTCAACCAGCCAGCCTCACACTGAGTAAGAACAGTCAGCCTCAGTTGAACGTGCAGTTGTTAAAGGTACCATAGAACACCTTTTGATGTCCAGAAAAGGTTGGATAAAGAAACCCTTGATGTCCGGACACTTGCAGCTGCTCCTGTCCTGGCGGTACGAAGAGCTGGTGTCCAGCGCCTCTGGCGATCGGCTGTCCCAGCAGCTGCTCCTGTCCTGGCGGTACCATGAGCTGGTGTCCACCGCTGCTGGTGCTCGGCTGTCCCGGCAGCTGCTCCTGTCCAGCCTGCTGGTGTCCACCGCTGCTGGTGCTCGGCTGTCCCGGCAGCTGCTCCTGTCCAGCCTGCTGGTGTCCACCGCTGCTGGTGCTCGGCTGTTCCAGCAGCTGCCGCCGTTCAGGGTATACGGGCTTCGACGGGCCGAGCGGTCCGGCGCCGCCTGAGGCCATTTCCGGCGGTCTGAGTCCTCGCAGTGGTCTCGTCACATCTCTCGTCTCTTCCGTCAGCTCCTGCGCCATACGGTGCGAAGTGTACCACTCCAGGGTTCTAGAGGACCTCAGACGAAGCCGGTCCTGGATCGCGGCGATCGGATATCCAAGCCGAAGCATGTTGGTTCCCAAGGTGTGCCGGATGCAGTGGTTTGTGTACCTTTTAGAAGTGCCAGCAGAGGCACTTATTGTCGGCATCATGCTGTCGATGGCGTTTTTCCCCTTCGGCGCGTTCACGTACCAGGAGTCACTGTCCGGCTCCTGCAGCATTTGCAGAGCTGTCTTTGGCTTCTGAAGGAAAGCTGGTTGACGCTCATCCAGATTTGACAAGTAGAACTTCAGCGTAGTGTACAGAAAGACTCCTGCCTCCGGGTCGTCTGTTAGAGATGTGACTCGTCGGCAGGTAGAGCTTGGACCCGTGTGCTGATAGTCCTTTTCCATGAGGGATTGATCCATCCTTATCTCGGCCCTTCCGAGCGCGTCCCTTCCCTCTACAAAACTGTCTTTTTTCAGCTGGTGCCAAATTTCGCGGCCACGATAGCCAAACGTCATAGACAGCATGTAGTAAACGTATTGCTGCAGCACTGTGGGATCTTCGTAAGTCTTTTGGCTGGCGAAATACTGCCTGATTACTTCTTGATCCGCATGATCCATAGGCATTTTGGCAGTGCCCTCAGCCCGATTACCCTCCAAAGCAAATCATCTTTTAGCAGCTCTGAACTGCTCGTTTGACTTGCGGAAAGTAGGGTGTGTGGCCATATTTGGCATATCTTCCAGCATCTCTGACAGGTGACGCTGTAGCCCAGCTCGCAGAACTTGCAGCGAGCTCGGAGTAAACTGCAAACCTTCTACTGTGTGGACTTCTCCATAGAACTTGTACAGCGTTTTGTCAAGTGCCGCGAGATCTTGGCCATACGCAGTTATATCGTCCTTGACATATTTGACCTGGCGACTTCTCTGTGCCCACTTCTTGTATGTTGCCAACGCCCAGTGGGTCGTTTTCCTTGTGTTTCTAGGGATCGATTCTGCTGCTCTATCGTGCAGTTCCTGTGAGGCCAAATTACTATCTTGACTATCTACGGTTTCAGCATCACTGTCGTTCATATTGCTAAGGCAAATATGTACAAATTACAATTACAAAAGCCTACTCAGTAATTGCTTTTGTTTATTTCAATCAGGAATGCGCTAAATATTGTATAATTATATCTACAAACAAGCCTTTAACCCTCGCACGACCAGGCCATTTCTCATAACACGAACGACCAGGGGGGGGGGGTTGTTACGACCCCCCCCTGGCGTTTCGAAACGGAAGGTCGTAGAGCTTAGCGGAAAAAAACCAACGGATTGCTCTCAACGAGATCTCGCGATTGGTGGTATATTTTTTGGTCCTAGGTCAACATTTGACCTACTTATGACCGGTCAAAGGTCAAATTTTCCGAAAAAATCAAACTTTTTCAACTTTCCGCGGCGATTGCGGCAAAACGGTGGGAGATATCGCCTTGAAACCTTCACTTTCGTGTTCCTTGATCAATTCTCTATCGTTTGGTATGTATTTCGTTTCCCTAGCTCTAAAA